AGATCGGAGATGATGGGTAAAAATGGTGATTAGAGGATGATGGAAGAAAAAGAGGAGGAAGGTTAAATTTGTAATTTTATCCTTTGGCTTATACAGGAAAACTTTTATTTTATATTATGTGCACCCACCGGTGTTGAACTGGTGGGTGCACATATCTTTATCCAATTCAAAAAGATAAAGAAACAGGAGACCAAAATTCAATAGGAATATGAAGAAACACATAACCAAAAAGAAATTTAAAAAAAATCTACATGATATTGAGCAAGCAATCAACAGTAAGTTCCTGCACATTTAGACAATATAATCTATATTCTCCTTCAACAAGTGAAAAAAGAAAATAATAGGCAATGAGACGGTGACTAACCTGGAGTCGGTAAGTCACTATCATGGGTGAGCAATCTCGAGATGATGTCAAAGCACCAGTAGGCAACAATGAAGAATTAGCCATGGCATTTGAAGATTGACTGTTTGATTTCTTCCAGACTTGCTCATAAACTTGAGCAATGCTCAAATCAAGAGAGATAATATTACCAGCCACTAGAAGTTCCATACCATAGTCATCCTCAAGAAGTCCTATCAGGTCCAATTGATGGCAAATTTTGTTTTTAACATCACGCATTAGAGGGCCAATTTCAGCACTGGAATATGGATTTTTGGTCATTGAACCCCTGATAAACTCTTCTTGTGTATGAGCCTTGTTTAGAACCAAAAGATAAACTGCCTCTGGTTTTGATGGACAAATCAAATTGCAGAGCTGCTCTAGAATAAACTGCATTTATACAATAGAAGTCAGTTGCAAATGCGCAGTTGGATTAATGTAAACATTCTTGAAAATTCTGTATCATTGAAGGAGGTACTTGAAACATACAAAAGTGCATGCATAAGCACAACACCCCATTAATCTCATGTTATGTGGTTGTGGTAGTGTTTAATTCATGCTCTCAGATATATATATTTTTTTAAAGATACCCATGTTTCGCATCCCTTCACAAAGAATCTCAACAGAAGTTATATTATTATTGTTATTATTATTATTATTATTATATGGGCTTTTTATTTAAAAAAGAAAGAAAAGCTAAAAAGCCTGAACTATTAATAAACTCAAATAGGTTAAGTAAGAAAGATGCCATTTATTTTGGAACCAAATAATAGAACAAAGGGAACAAACTGTATAAATCCAGCTTGGAAGAATAAAGATTTTAAAGGACAGTCAACCAGTTTAAGCAGCTAATTCAGTACATTTCCGAAAAGAAAAAGGTTGATGAAATCAAGGATAAGTAATGCACAAAACATTACTTGAATCCAACCAATTTTCCTCAAATACCAACTAACTCAATTCCTCAAGAGCCCTTTCAGAAGTATATTTCTCAGGGCCTGCCTCAAACAACAATCAATGAACGTTTTATGATGTTACAAGCAATATGAGCTTAGCATCACTGAATAAACAAATTTAACTGGCGATGTAATGAGTATTCTAATGGCACCAAAAGCTTGATGACTTATTCTGAACATAATGACAGCATTAGAGCAGCAAGAATAAGGAAAGAGTAAACAGAATAATTTAAACTCATACCAAACAACTTCGTTCCTTTTTCTCCTCTCTGTGGATTTGCAAGCCACAGATACAGGCACGGATGAACTGGCGCTTATTTTCACTGCTTTCAAGCAAAAGACTATCAAGCAGATCTTTGAGAAGTCGATTGCAATCACTAATCAATTTTGTCTTCTGCACTATCAAGCCACGAATGACAATAAGGGCCTCAAGGACTTCAGTGAGCAAATTATCCCGCATGAATCTACAATCAAGAACAAATCTCTTATGAGGTGAAAGTGAAGATAATCTCAATATCCAATGAGACTAGTGAGAGAGTATTTTTGTACCTGGATCTGATATTAGGAACCTCTAGAAATTTTCCAAGGAGCTCTATTAGCTTGTGAAGGATGAATCCTTGTGAAATGTCAATATGCAGACTCCTCTCTAAAGATTCAATATTGTCCACTTCTTGTGTGATCAATTTACAAATTGTACTTAGACATCCTCTTACAGTCAAGAACAGACGGGCATCTTCAGACTCAATCATCTTGAATAGCAATTCAAAATATTCTGCAGCACTTTCACCAGCTGCCAGGGTTGCAGGTAACTGACCCATTAATAAGTTCAGCAACCGAAACCGTCTAGATGCACTTTGGGCACAAAGTAAGCTAATCAGCATGCACATCTCTGACCTGATAGACTGAGAGCAAGCACTCAGAACAAGTTCAGTAACCCATGATCCCAGCTCAAAGACTGACAAGCCACTTTTAGTTGCTTTACAAGCATGGCGCTTCCACCTCAACCCATACTTGAGAGCCAGGTAGTCAGATCTCTGGGGTCGAGACTTCTGACCAGCACCTTTCACTGCTTGAGACACTTTGGATTGCCTTCTAACAAAATCAAGATAGGATGCTCCCTTCTCCCACTCTGAATAACTAAGCAACTGAATGTCTTGGCTTTTATGTGTGACATCCCAATTTTTTTCCAAAGGTTCTGACAACAATTTACTACCACTGCCAACACCTCCCAGAGATCCAGACAAGTTTGAGCTATTGTCATTCTTCAGTGGTGTAGCAGGGGCAGATTTCCCAATACCTTGGTCTTTTTCTGATGCATCAGGTTTTGGGGGAGTGCAAGCCTGAGATATGATCCTTAGACATGGAAGAATTATATGTTCAGATATAGCAGGATGTTTAGCTCCCAATTTGATGGAGGAAAACAACAGCTGAAAAACAGCACGCAATCTTGATTCCCAGAATTCATCAACAAGAGAACACACATCTGAAAGCAACAATAATTCCTCTCGAGTGGCCACAGCAATATCCATGGAGCGATGATGTTCAAGGCAGTATGTAACTTTCTTCTGTATTAAACGGTTCAACTCAGTTACCGCATTAATATCACCCTCAGAGAAAGCACAAAGTGCTGCCCTAGCTTGAACACGAGCAGTTTTTGGACCTTGGTGAATATTGTTTTCAAACAACTCAGACAAGATACCAGCTGCAACAAGCTGCTTTTTAGAACTTGGATGTTTTGATAGAACTTGCAGTATTTCAAGGCATTGAGTAACAAATGTAGTTGCACAGCCATAACAGTTATTTGGAGATCTAGAAACAATAAATCTTGATGGAGCTCCACTATCATCTGAATGTTTCTGATGCAAGTAAATCATTAATACACGACGAAGCCCCTGAAGTGTCTGAACACTTTTACTGACAGAATCAAAAGCAGCCTTGCACTTCTCACCATAGAGGACACCAAGAAGAGCTATTTTGCGATTTATCTTACATGAAGGTCCAGGCAAAGAGACCATCATTTGCTGAACAGAGTCTTTCTGCTGCGAATCCATCTCATTCTCACCAATGCTGGACACTATCTTAAGAAGGGGTTTCTTAAAGCCCAAGAGTTGCTGATATCTCCTATGAGCATTTTCTGATTCAGCTTCTATAGCTGCCAACCCCCGTTTCATATCTTCATCATTCTCCACATTATCAAATGTAAAACTTGGCTTAGCCATGAAGTTGAATTCAAAACGACCGTACTTGCTATAGCCACACTCATTGCATAGAAAAGAATCCAAATTCTCATAATTGATGTTGCGGCACTGCCTACATTGATATGCATTCTCATGGCAATTGCTGCATATTCCATGCTTATCAGTCACAGGTCGACTGCAACGCGGGCATTGCAATGGCTCAAGAGATAAAGCTTGAAGATTTTCATAGAAAGAATCCAGCTCTATCATGAAGTTGCAAGCAGTGATTGGAATAGGGAACTCCACTTTCAGCTCAGTCTGGTTGAAAGCAAGGTAGCAACTCTTTGCACGCTTCCACAATGGCCAGTTATTCTTCAACTCAGACAAGTCAGCTACAGGCCGATTGTTGTAATACAAGTTCAACACTTTCACTGATTTGGATTTCCGGGCTTCATGAACATTCATAGTCACAGTCTGGATTGTATAACTTCCAGTGCATTTCACAATGATGCGGTTGTCAGTAAACTTGGTTTCAGATTTCAAACTTTCTAACTTCATCCTGCTATATGGCACCTCAGGAGAGCTGCAAGCAACACATGGCTCACTCTCAAGATAGTAACCATCAAATTCCACCAAACCACTCAAAGTGCTATATATGCGAGAATTTGGATGATTAGCTATAAACTCATTTTGTGAATGCAGTGTCTCAAAGATGCCTTTAGTAACATCAGCAGTCAAGCATCGGTCTACAAGTTCAGTCTGTTGCTTTGAGTTGCTATCAGGGACCTTACCCCACAAACATGTGACAAGTTCCGTATACTCAACAATATTCTGACCATACATAGGCAAGCATTTCATCTTCTGTAATAGGTCTGTTAACAAGGTTTCCTTGAGTGAATGCTTCCCATGATGCCACACACCATAGAGAACACACTTAGCCTCAGCACGCACAGAGCATGAATTCCATTCCAGTAAAAAGATATCTATAAATTGCCTCAAGACATCACCAGCCTTATCAGTAAAGATATCCACAACTGCCTCCATATCCACATAAGACTTCTCTGAACCAGATTCAATTCCATCATCACCCTTCTTCTTCTTCTTTGATTCCACAGATTGAGCACCTGACTTGTTTGAACTGGTTCCTGAATCACCAGCTTCAGCTTTTTGCAGACACTGACTCAGATCCTTCCCCAAGTAAAAGGCCGAACTTAATAATTTAAGAGTCTGAATGACAGACTCTTCAGCAAAATAAAATATTCCATTCATGAGGAAGGGCAATACATCTCCATGTCTCAGACAGTACTTCTGCCAATTCCGAGGCCGTGCAGTGGCTACTTCAGCCATTGTGGAAAGGCACTTAACTATCTTAACACTTCTTTCATAAGAGACGGTATTTTGAAAGCCACCAGATTTATTTACACATTTGAAGAGTTTCTTCACTTCAGTTGAAAACAGCCAAGAATCTCTAACACTGTAATAGTGAGTCTTACTTCCACACAGATGCAGGAAAAGCCTCCTTGCATATCTTCTAACAAATGTTGTGTGAGGATTATTGATGTAACTGCAGAGGACATCCTGATATCCATCAAGCTTCAAGTCCTTGCTAGAAGACATCTTGTAAACCCTTTCTTTCTCCCCATTCTTGTCTTGCTTTTCTGGTCTCACCAAGGTGTACACCAGACGAAATGCATTCTCCAACAATAGCCTGTAGTAGTCCATAAAAATATCTGTGCGATGAGCTTTTACGTACGTATCCAAAAAGAATGGACAATAGTTACCAGCTGGTATATCTCTTCGTACTGTTAGTAAAGCCCCACATCCAGACCCAGAACTTGGACCAGTTTCAAGACCATCAGCTGGAGACTTAAAAAAAGGCACCAAATGCTGCAGGATATCCATCAGATAATTAACAAAAGCTTGGTTCCTAAGACAATTGCAAGCCCTAAGAAGCTGGGATGCAAAGTCAATTTTCTCTTGATCATCCAAGGAAGATTGAGAAGAAACTGAAGTGGACATTTGAGAACCACATTTATCATGTGCATCAGGATTTCCACTGGTTTTTGAGGCAGCACTATCACTGCCAGGCTGGTGCCAATTTCGAAGCATCAAGGTGAAGAACATGAAGACAAGGATTGCAACTCCTCCAAAAGTTCGAGTTCTGGTGGCAAAAGGCTTGTTGAGATTAATTTCATCCAAAAACCATTTGATTAATTTCTCTAAATCTAACGTTTCAGGCTTTGAGTTGTCAATAAAAGGTCCACCAACAGCTGATGATAATCTGTAGAAGAGTTGCATAACAGGAATAGCACGAATACCAGAAGTCGTTTCCATCCACCCTTTCAACTGTTCAAGAAGCTCAGATAGAAGCAAGGAATTCACGGCTCGTTTTGAAGCAGAGATTGAGACAGGGTCACTAATTGAAGTAGAAAACTCCCCAGATTCACTGGGTTCCAAGACATGAATTGAAGGGGCAGAACTTTGCATGCTGACACTGGCTGCTGATGTCACCAAGTTTGAGTCACTAGCATCATCCGTGGAGAAGTGAATTTCATTGACATCCCCTCCAAGTGACTCTACTTCAATGGGAATTGCTGTCATTGGATGATCTCTAGAGTGTGGAGGAGGAAGCCGGTCTGCATCTAGCACTTCATAGCATGCTTCACATAAATCAAAATCAGGACAAACAGTGCAATGCCATCTCCTTCTAAGTATGGGAACGGTAGAACAGCCATCACAACAGTATTGGACAGATGAAGTGATAGAATCTTCCTCAATCATAACTTGCGAATTTCCACCAGACATCTCAGTGGTGACAGAGGCAGCCGCTGCATTTTCTGCTGCATCATCAGTTGATAACATTGTTTGTTTTGGAAATGGAACCTGGAGAAGTCTTGATGATATAGCTAAGCTGAAAAAAAAAGAAAAAAACAGAAGATAAATGAACATCAGACAGTTTAAACAGGATAAATATTTAATGGCAGTAACAAATAATACCTGCTTGAAGTTTGAACTGCATCATTGGGAAAGAATAAAAGTTTCTTGAATAGCACAACAGCAGGTGCTACAGAGTGGCTTCCTGCATCTTTTCCGTTCAAAGCCAAACATTCAGCATAACTATAAATGAGCTCCACAGAAGATATAACGATGTTGTTCATAGTTTGTGTATCAGGCAGCTCTAAGTCTAAAATTCCCCAAAGAACTTGCATAAGTCCATCCACCACCCCAGAACCTACATCAACACAAGAAATGACAATATCACTCCTCTTTAGAAAGGGCAAAGCATTAAAAAAACTCATCCTAGCATTTTGATATGATCAAAGAAGTCCATGGAATTTCAAAAGATATTTGTAATAACAGTAATTAATTAACCAACCCCTTAAACAAAACAAAGATGACCATAGAGAGACCCGAAAAATATAATAACAACAGCAACTATATTCCTTGATTCTTAAAAACTAAACATTCAAGTCTAATAAGGGTTTTGGGATGCAGTTCAGGGCCAGCAACAATGAACAATTCTGAAGAATGGATGTTACTTACCATTCTTCTCCAAAAAAATGGCTAAATTGGAACGACGGTGCAGTGCAATCTTAGACACAGCACGCATTTGAGCAGTGAACTCCTCAATAATCCACCCCCCTGTACCACCTCCAATTCCCAATTTTGAAGAAAGAATAGATGTTGATTTCACCACCCCCAAAAGACGCATGGTATCCTTAACCTATATGAGAAAATTTGAATTAGAACTCAAAATGACACATAGCATATTCATAGACACCTACATCCTAGGAATAGGTAAATGAAAGCTATTGATGGGTTATTACTTGGTAATACATCTCCTTTTTGGGAAACACAGCCTGCAATACTTGACAAGCAGAAGCCTGCATTAAGGGTTCCCTGTCAGTCTCAAAGATTGTTTCCAACAATTTCTTGCACTTGACCTTGCTGAGATCTGCTTTTACTTCCTCTTCCTGTGACACACAAAGTGAGTAAATCCTGGCAAGAACCTTGAGACCATAAGCCACCACTTGTTCCTCAATAGAAGCAGACTGTATTGACCGGCACTTTTTACCAGAAGTGGCCTGCATTGAATTGGAACCAAGTGCACGAGCTTCCATATCCAACACAGCATCCATTTTCTCCTTCCAACCAAATTCATCCTTAGCTCGACCATACACTTCGAGTGAATCTATTCTAGCCAATGCAGAGCCACTGAAAGTGGGCCCAACAGAAATAACGAATTCTTCATCAGCAAGGAGTGACTCAGCTACAGTGAATGGGATATCATACCAAGACCTCATGCCCTCATCCAACTTAATCACCCTCTGAAAAATTTTTATCTCGGAAGGTATGTGGTTTGGTGATGTATTACCCACATGCACACGAAAACCAACCATGACAATATCAGGATTTGAATTGGAGACTGATATCTGAAACAAACAAGGAAAATTTGTAATCAGGAACCTCAAACAGAAATGCTAATGACATCATGATCATAAAAAGTTAGTGTTTTATTTAAGTCACATTATCAAATAAAAAGTATCATAACAACAGTTTCACTGCAAAGCAGGATTAGTCTGATCCAAAACCATCAACAATTAAAAAATCTCAGACAACAGACAACCAAGAAAAAGATCAGGGATTGACAAATACAAGCATCCCTTAAAACAATAATAAAAACATGCTAGCTCAGACAACTCTATATCTGGTTCAACATCATCACAATCATGATTAATAACCACATTGAGAAATCTGGGAAGCCTTTACCACTTCTATTAAGTGGGAAAATCCCACATTGGTGATATTTGTGCTCTGAAATATAATATGGGCTACTACACCTATTGCAAATTGGTTTTAGGCTGGATGCTCACATGGTATCAGAGCACAAGCCCTAATCTATATCCCAACATGTAAAAGCAGAGAGCAGTAAGGTCAAGTGCAATACATAGAAAGAACAAATATAGTAACAATGGATTGAAAGAACAAGATTAGATCAAAGAGTAACATCCAGACCAATGCTTCAAATTAAATTCAAGACAGACTTGAAACCAACTTCTCACACTCATTTGCTGCATGAAGCAGATCTTCTTAAAGTAAACATTTATCTCCCATTGAATGGATGGGTTTCAGTGATAGATATAAGCCCGTCTGGAAAGTGGAAAGATTTACAGTAAATCAACAACTTCAGAAGGAAATCAAGCAGCATGAACAAAGGTTGGACAGGCAGAGGGATAGGACTCCCACCCACCAAAAGCATGCCCCTTTTATCATCCCAATCCATCCATTGTCAATGGAATTAATGTTATCAAAGCCCCAAGTCCAAACACACTGAATTTATGTCAGTATACCTTCTGTACAATAAACTGATTCTAACTGCTATACAATCATTGGGTGTCTCAATACAGAGAAGCGTAACTAATCCAATGATGATCAACCCCACAGGAAAAGAAGGCTCAATAACAAATATGGAAAACATGAGAAAATAAACAAATTATAAAATATTGGACCAAAGACACAACAAAACCAAATATATAAACTGAAAGAAATGAAAACACAAAGTAACCAGAACTCAGAGCAGTAGTACCTTAAATCCTGAAGGACTTGGACTTTCTAAAAAGCCCTCCTCTGCTGCCAAGTTCTGCTTAGCTCCCTCAAAATCCCCATTTCTGATGGCATCACCACCCAACTTCACATCTGCCGTGATGCAAACTGTTTTCTCGAAGAAATCAAGTGGAAACTCTGGTTTTGTTCCAGCATAAGCTTTAATGTTAAGGATATTAGAACCCAATTTTTTAACTTTCTCAGCTGTCACACTAGCAGTGGCATCAGCTCCAACAGGAATGTGAGAGTATATCTGAAGGCTGCCATCATCATGTAAAACAAGGCAATGGACCTTGTCCTTGGGTAAAGGCTTAAAAGCAGCAATCCCAACTAAAGGTGAGGTAGAACTAGCAGCATGTCTTAGATTCTGAGCAAGCAGTTCTTGGGGCCCCATTGATATAGCAAGGGCAGAGTTTAATTTCAAACTTGAGAAGCAAAAGAACAACCCTGGACCAGCCAATAACTCCTTCCAGTGATGCAGCCCAGCTGGTCGTGCCTTGCCATCTTGCTCTTCCTCATAGACACAAGATATTTCAGTCAAAGATGTTGCATCAGGACTTAAACGACCTACCAAAGTAGTGCCATCTATATAGGATAAGAAAAGTAACTTATATGTTGTAGAGAAGTACAAAGATGAGCCCTTGGCATGGATTTCTCTATCCTGAATATGAATAATTTCCTTCAATGGCGTGGCCACCTCATTACCTTCTAAAGACAGTTCTAGCTTATATAAGCTTCCCTGTTCTGAAAGAACTATAAGAAACATCTGTCCTTGCAATGCCACAGAAAGTGTCGCATCTACTATCATGTCATCAGGCAGTGTGAAGTAGTGCAAAGGACTGATGTTGTCCTGGGAGAGATCAAATATCTTGACAAACCTGTTGGTAACCACCATTAATTGAACCTGAGAACCAGGAACCCAATCTATCCGTCTAATGTGTGCCCCTTGTAAGGCAAGTTCAATGGCAAGTCTATCAGCCACTTCACCACGATGATTCAGCGTGAGGACCTGACAATCTTCAAAGCCTGCCACAGCAAGGTAGTTCTCTACCACTGGATTGAAAGCAAGATGAACTATTTCAAACCTAACAACATTCCTAGATAGAGGCTTAACATTTGTCTTGTCTGCTGTTACAGGTGCAATTGTTGCTTGTCCTATTAGCTGCATAACATCAAATATAGCAACTTTGTCCCCTTCACCAACAGCCAGTCTACCTCGAATGCTGACACTCAGCAAAGATTTGATAAGTGAGCCACTAGCTAAATGGGATTTAAGTTCTTTGGCATTTGAATAATCAGTCTTTATCTTGAGGTCTATTGACCCACTTTTGTAAGCTTTCTTCAATTGAAAGAGATCTACACCATAAGAAAGCACTTTCTCTTGCCCCAGAATAATTTTCTTATCTTTCAAAACATTTGATTCTCTCCTGCTTGTTATAGAAGGCAGCAATGAAGAGGAGAGTTCAAGCACCCGGCCCTCAATGTCAAGTTCTTCAAGCAGCACTGGGATTTCATCTTGAAACTCTCTTGGAATAGACAACCTGAGTGAGTTTTCTGCATCTATCTCAACATCTTCGTCAGTTTCAGAATCACTTTCAGGCAGCTGATCTCCATCCTCTGTGAAGGGTAAAAATGATTGAAAATTATTGGCACCACGAGCAGGTGCACTGTCACTTCCAGTGAATTTCCGAGGTTTCAAGCACTGGCAACTGCTCCCCCTAACACCCCCAGCTCCACAGTCACAAAAGAAACGACTTGAGCGAGAATAAACAACACGATGACCACGATGACAAACTTTTGCACAAATGGAGCAACAGCCTTTTGACACAGTCAGATCACACGTATAACAAAAGTACCAATGCTGTTCCATAAAATTGCTGCCACTAGAAGTAAATGTGCAAACTTTGGAAGCAAGAACTCTCTCACTATTAGTATCCTCTTCCTCATCCTTGTCTATGCTAGCTACCTCACCATCAGAAGTTCCATCATCTTCATCATCATCAGCAGAAGTTGCATCACATTCAAGGGACACTGATCCACCTTCCCGATTAGCAGAAAGAATCAAGGTGTTGGGATTTTTTCTTGAGCCTACTGGCCTAGAGGCCATAGAGCCTGTTACGATGCTGCTACCAGAAGGGGACTTTCCTGAAGACTTTTCTGTTGTATTCTTACATGAACCACAATCACTTAAGATGCTTTCAAGAAAGCCAAATAGAAACTTTAATCCAGGCAGCAAATGCTCTTCACCAGCCAACTTCTCTATCAGCATCACTGTCCTTTTCAAAAGCAACTTTAATGAGTTCTCCCCTCTTGCAAGTTGGACAACAAAATGGAAATAAGACTTGGCAGTGTGAATGTCATAAAGCAAAAATGCAGTATCAAGTGAAACCAATACAGCTTCAAACAAATGATTGTGTAGTTCACTTGATTGTGATTCAGATTGTGAAGTAACAAGACTCAAAATAAAATTCATGGTTGCATCTCTGAGAGCAAGATAATTTCCTCTTGCACATTTCACCCCTTCTGAAGATTCTGTTATGCAACCCAAAAGCCTTTCCTCCAACCATTTTGACAAGGCAGTCAAATCCATGGAAAGGAATTTGCTGAATAACTTTTGTTTTAGATCAGAAGATAGCTCTCCTGATAAGAGATCAACAAAGAAGTTAAGCACCTTTTCATTTACTGATTCAGAGTGACAATTATCTAGAGATTCAATGAGAATGATCAAATCACCATGTTGTGACCCATGGAGATCTCTGAACTTTTCAGACAAATCATGTGCTCCAACATAAAACTTGAAAATGCTCAACTTAGAAGAGTCTTTCCTGAGGCCATCCATGGTATCGATAGTCTTGGCAATTATCCATTCAAGAACATGAGGTTCACTTGGTCTAGTAGAACATATGTCTCTAAGAAACCTTTCCAGGTCCTTGATCAGAAACAGTTCAGTATAATCAGATGATTCCAGTCCTGAACTCAAATCACAATAAATATCTTCACATATTCCATGAAAACTTTCAAAGATGCGATCAAACTTAATGATCATTAGTGAATCAAGAATCTGATGTTGTACATCAGCATCAAGGCAAAGATTTCCCCTTAATTTGTCTAGCCTGAGTAACCCAGCCAAAATGAAAATTATCCTCCTGATATCCAGAATACAGGACAGAAGGACTCCACTAGAAGCTTGAAGATAAGAGGGAAAACCATGCAACATGCATTCCCAAAACACCTTAGATAGAATGCCAGAAGCTTTTTGGTTGACAGCCTCATCCAATTTTGGTAAGATGTTAAGAACAGACTCCAGCTGGCAAGAACTTAAGCCATACTTTTCAAGGAAGTCATCCCGCATGGATTTATCAAATTGGGAGTGTTTGAGAAGCAGCAGAGGAGAAAAACCACCCGCTTCATGCTGGCCAACACCAAATGTAGAAAGGAAAGCCTTTTCATGAGCTTGAAGGTATCTGTTTAACAAGGATGAGAACATCCTTAATAGACCTGGAATTTGACCATCCACAATTACGTTGGAAATCAACACTTCTGCAGAATTGATAAAATCATCATCCCTAGGACTGTTCTCTGACCACGATGGACTAGCTTCAGGGACTGAATTCTTCACACAATATCTCCAGATGCCTACACTCAATAAGGACAGTACCAAAGACATCCATAATTCATTTCTCAGGAAATCCCATCCTGGATCCTCAATGCCACCATCCATGTGCACAGAAAACAAATTCTGTAGCAGATCAACCACAAGATTTTGAATGTTAAAGCTCTTTCCAATTCTGTTGAAGTGGCTCAGAAGTGAATGGCTGAAGAGAATGAAATGCTCAATACTGGAGACGTCCAAAATCTGCGAGTTACTCCATGGTGATAATTTTTGTTCCAATGCAGAGCCCATATTAGGAATATCCCAGCAAAGAATGAAAATATACCTTTCAACAATAAGATCTTCCACTGCAGCTGCTTTTTTACCTTTCCAGAATCCCAGAATCCAAGAGAAAGTTGAATGCAAATCCTCCCAACTAAAGCCCAAAGATTTGCATGTCATATCATCTCTATAGAGAGGAGACGGGAGGCCTGTAACATTGATTAAATGGTTGATCAGGCTACTAATAGTTGGCTCTTTCTCAATCCAAGCTCCCATTATGTTCTTCACTGTAATTGACGCTAAGGAGGCTAAATGATCATTGGAGCTTCGCATATGGGAAACAAAAGCTGGTGCATCCCTCAACTTTGATCGCATATGTACAAGCAAAAATGAAGGACAAGTATGTGGGTAAAATACCATATGACAAAGCAGTAAAATCAACCTTGAAATGATTAAAGCCCAGCATGAAAGTTGAGTGACAGAGGAATCTGCAGATGGAACATTAATTGCCTGAATGGAAGAAAGTACTAATTTTGCCAGTGCTGCCTTCTCTCCCTCTGATGATAGATGGAACGCCATGAGTAGAATCTCAATATGGAAAACAGATGGCATGGTTGCCAGGAGCTCTTTCAGGCTAGTGCATTTCAAAAAAATAGCTTTTGCTTTCTGATCAATGAAAGAAACAAATCCTTCATAAATTTTGGTTCTCAATTGGCTCCCAGCTAAACCCGCACTAAAGAAAAGGATGTGTGCCAGCATGGTTAAGGCCTGATCACTATAAACAAAAATATCATTTTCAACATTCAGGATTTGATCAACAAGATACTCTTCAAGTGAATCAGATAAAGCATGTTGGATAAGAAGATTGTGCAATAGCTGGAAACAGATATCATGGACATCCCCAGTCTTCGGATCTTCATGAGAAGCTGCATTGTTTTCAGTTGCCTTATCTTCACAATGGCAGCCTTGACAGTTCAGTATGGAAAGGAAAATATCAATATGGTTCTGGCTAAGTTTTTTGCAGCCATCCTTATAGATAGAAGGATGCCATTCTTGAGAGAAGATGCATTCTTTGAGAAAACTCAGTAGCTCAGCAGCAGCTTGCATTGACATATTGCATATGCTGGAACTAGAATTTACGGGAGCTGAGGCTTGATCACATATGTCTGTAGATCCTGCCGTACGACTACCCTCAGAGAAAAGGTTCCCAAAAAGGGCTTCATCATCATGGCAAACTGCAGTTTCTGATTCTGAGGAGCTATGACCTTTTCCATCACTTGAAAGTGACATCTCCATTTTTTGCCTCAGTTTTACCCCTTGTGAATGAAGGAAATAAGTGAGGTGCGTCAGATTATCCAGCCACTGATTTGATGAAGAAAATATGATCTCTAATAGTTCATCACTAGAAAATCTCTTAACCAAGGGAATGTTCTCTAGGCATACATGACATGAAGGGGAATCCTTCAACAAATCAACAGAACTGCCAACATCATCTGTGTCAATCTCCTTCAGATCAATAACCCCAAATGTTTGCCTTCTAAGATCCTGAATGAGTTTCAGTAAATAAACAACAACCCTAGGAAAGTAGGCCAATGGGGGCTTTACAATAGGAGCAGCCTTGTTGTATCTCCATACGGAAGAATCCAGATTTTCCAGTACAGAAGTTACCATAAATGTTTTGATATTCTGGGGAACACTGCTGTTGTGGAAGATAACCTGAACAAGATGAAGAAACTCTTCCATAAGCAACAGCACAAGACTCTCAAAACTACCTTCTCCAGCAGCATATTCATTTATAAATTCAAAGCCAGGTCTACACAAGCTAGGCAATACACTGGCACATGAAGCAACTGCTTCTAACAATGAGACATCATATTCAACATATGGAACATCCGTTGCAAGCTGTCCAAGTAACTTCAAAATCCTCCGACTGAAAGTCAGTTTCTTGTGGAAGTTTGTACCAGACATCCTTTCTTCAAATATGTCAGGAACTTTGACCAGCTCTTTGCAGAGTAAAATCAGACGTTGAATGCCTTCCAAGTGAGTGACAGCCCAGTGCTGGGTTAGAAAAACCAAACTGTTCAGATCATGGTGGGCAGTGAGTGCATCAAACCCTGTGTTCTGTCTATCAGATTGCAAACACTCAGAAGCTAAAGCTAATAGCAGCCTATTCACTTGTTTCTCTTCCCTAGAGCACTTGACACCTTTTCAAAATATTAGGGACCAAAGTAAGGTAAGTATAGAAATCATGGCACTGAAAAAATAAAAATCAGAAAACATAGGTATGAAAATCAAGAAAAATAAAAAGGTACCTTGAAGACCACATTTTATGTTGTCATCCAACTGAATATTACTAGAACTACTAGAAACCATCAGCTGCAAGTCTACAAGGGTATCTACATAAACAGACTGCACTAGGTAGGTGACTTTCTCCATCACATCACCCAATGTGATCTCCAAAAGTTGTATCATATTACTCTGAAAATTCAGACAGAAATTAGTCTTCAAAAATATCAATGATAATTAGCAAAACAGGTAATAATGAATGGAACACCAACAGCAATGCAATTTTAATTGACATTTTCAATAGAACTTGGGCCAAATAAAGCATAATTCACTAAAGGTAACCTAAAAGAAGGAAAAAAGTGAAAAATAAATAAACAAACAAAAATAAATAGAAGTTACTAGAAATCATGGGCATAGCTGACTTAAAATATAAATAGAAAACATATTCCTGCAAATGAAGGCTAAAGAAATTAATAATATAATTTAAAAAAAAAAAAAATGTTAGCTGACCCCATCTGGAGAATAAACTAAACTTGTAGGTTGATGTTCGCAATTTATGCTGAATGGATTTTATATCCTTACCCTCAACCAGTGCCTTCCATTCATTGCAATAAGTATATTTACATCTTCTCAACAAAAGTTATTAAAGTCAGAGAGGTCTACTTATCTTAGAGAAGGATATCAATATGTCAATCATTCTGGTTGTTTATTATGCATTCTTGGGAAGCATTATCAAAGTTCAAAAAAACAAAATTATAGTTAGGGTGAAACCATTCAAGGCTCAAAGCATAATGAGAAGAGCTCAATACAAAAGGAAAAAAATGAATAAATAAATAACTGGAGAAGAAATACTGATCAATATGACACTAGATTAGCATAGTTTCAACGAGAAACTTAATACAGAATCTAATAATGACACAAACTCATCATAAGTCATAAGAAAAAAAATACTACCTAAAACATAAGTAGTTTATGCAAACTAACCCCCATAAAGATAACAAACAAACAAGTTTGGCATACTAATAATAAAAATTTGCAATTATAAGTTCAAACCTGTAGGCTGAATCTGAAGTCATCTGTACTGAAGTCGGATTTCTCCAAAAAACAAATTGCAAACTCCAGTAACTTTCGTGGAACAGCAACAATTATTGGCTCCAACTGGTCCACTGCTCATCCAGAAAGAAAAATTTAAGCGCATCTTTCATAAACATCAAAACCAACATTCCTTGAGTTCAAAAGCAAAACATGCTTTCATTCCTTTCTTAACACAACCGGAAATGATTTTGCAGATTGAACTCATCATACCAAATCAAAACAACAGCAACAAAAGCTTTACAAATACTTCCAATCATACGAAAACAGCAGTTCAGAATCCGAAGAAGATGAAAAAAAAAAAAAAAACAAATAGAAGCTAACAAGAAAACCAACCTGATAGAGATCGAAACACAGCGGCGATCGCGCAGCCTACAGAAGCAACAGATATAATCTGCGTTTCGGACCATAGTTGAAAACCGAATTTAGCCTCTCCTTCGATCGGTTGGAGGCCGGACTGGAGAATCAGGTAGAACTGTTGGAGGCCGAGCTTGATCGATTCATCGGAGCGAAGCTTCTGGAGGAGATCGCCCGGCGATGATAGTTTGTCGTCGGCAAGAGATTGGCAGAGACTCCGAAAGTGTTCTGCCATTATTGAGAGAGAAAAGACGAGAGCATCTACGATTCTCGAAGATAGAGAGACTGAGTGAAAAAGAATGGTAGGGAACGGGTTTATACAGGAGTCTGGAAACTTACCCTTTGTCTTAGAGGGGTTTTGTGAAAAGAATTAAGAAGTGGCGGTGGCCAATAGCAAATTAAAGTTATTCTTTCCTTCGATGTGAGAAAACATTTTTGTTTTTCTCTTTTTCTTTTCTAGGTACTTCTAGGAAGATTGGAATAAGTGTTTTTTTTTTTTTTTTTTTTTTGAGGAATAAGTTTTTTTAATTTAACACGGTTCTGCCTTTTCTTTTTCTTTTTTTCTTTTTTGCACGGAAAGATACTGAAAGTTTTCAAAAAGAAATGTAAATAAAATAAAGTAAATGTGTTTTTTTAGTGAAATAACAAGAAATGAAACCAAATTTTACGGTTGAAATTTATGGTTAAAATTTAGGATTAAAATTTAAAATTAATAATATAATATT